GTCCATCGATCAATCCATACATCTATCTCTCCGTCTCTCTGTGTATTTGTCTATCTATCTGTCGATCTATCTATCTATCTGCCTGTCTGTCTGTCTTTCTGTCTGTCGATCTGTCGATCTGTCGATCTGTCTATCTACTGTGTCTGTCGGTCTGTCTATCTAGCCATCGTCTATCTATCCGTCTGGCTTTCTATGTATATCTACCCATCCATGTACACACATAAGTCGATGTGTGTGCGCAGTATGTATGCATTTGTGTAGACAACAACATGATGTAGACAGTATACAGTTACATGTGCATGCATGCATGCATGCATGTACCGTGTCGACAGTCACCTGATGAACGGCCTCTCACAGCTTGCAGAAAGGTTATACATTCCTCAATTAGGGAAAGTAGCTGTAGCAATAGCTGCTCAACTAAACTCCGGCTCCATGAAGCTCTGGCATGTATCACTTAATTGGAAACCACAGAAGCTCCAAGAGCGAAAAGGTAGCCTGTCGACCCTAGCGCCGAGACCCTAAGCTCCTTCTTTTACGGAACTATACATGGAAACCAGAATAAAACGGTATATAGTAGCTCCTGTGAAACCCTCTAAACCCCAAAAAACCGAAGCCTAGACCCTAAGCCCTAAACTTTAAACCCCCAAACCCTAAGCCCTAATTAAACCCTGAAGCCTAAAACCCTTTCTTGCGGTGTAGGCCCCTTCCGAGAGGCGGGTAACTTCCTGCTGCTTTGCTTGCGGAGCAGAGAAAGAAGCCATCGCACTTTAAAAAAGCCCTGAACCCTAAACCATAAACCCTGAACCCTAAACCCTGAACCCTAAAACCCTAAACCCAGAACTCCAAAACCCTGAACCCCAAAACCCTAAGCCCTAAGCGCGCTCTTGCCACGTCTCCCTTTGGCCGCAGGCTCGGCCTACTGGAGCCGGGGCCGGATTTGGATTCCTACAAGCCCGCCGGAGCGCCCCAGTTTCCAGGGGCCTTTAGGGGTTTAGGGAGTTAGGGAAGAGGGAGTTAGGGAGTTAGGGTTCAGGGTTTAGGGAGTTAGGGTTTAGGGTTTAGGGAGTTAGGGAATAGGGAGTTAGGGAGATAGGGTTTGGGGTTAAGGGTTCTTCGGGTTTAGGGAATTAGGGAATGGGGCTTAGGGCGTTAGGGATTTGGGGTTTAGGGAGCTAGGGTTTAGGGTTTCAGGTTCATAGGGTTAGGGTTTAGGGAGTAAGGGTCTAGAGGGTTTGGGGCTTTGGGGAGTTTGGGGAGTTTGGGTCTAAGGAAGCCTCAAGGGATTTTAGGGTTTAGGGAGTTTGGGAGTCCGGGTTTAGGGTTAAGGTTTACAGGGCTTAGGGTTCAGGGCCTAGGGTTTCAGGTTGCCAGGGTTGTAGAGTTGTGGCCTTGGGGTTTTAGGGGTTTCCAAAGCTTTAGGGTTCATCTTCGGAGCATGGGTGTCCTCGCCTCAAACCCTAAAGAACCCATCTTTTTGAGGGGGTTCCATACCATGATCTAGGGACTCCAGTTTGTTCAGGCTGGGACTTCACCTTACTATTTATTACTATTACCATTGCTACGTTTGTTATTACTAGTCTTGTTATTACTATCATTATTACTGTGCATTATTACTTTTATTATTACTATTACTACTACTATCAGGGTTGTTGCGTTGTCGGTTTGGGCTTTCCTTGAGCCTGTCTTCGTCTTACTGCCGTGTCTCAGTGGCATTCGAATTTCGGGCTTACTGTCTGGTGCTTAGTAGGGAATGGGGGAATGGATCCCTATGATCATCCCCAATACTAGTCTTCATAATTCATTCCCCCATTCCCTACTAAGAACCAGACAGTTTAGGCTTAGGACTCGCATACTTCCTGCCGGCAGCGCACTTGCAATGCAAAGTCCGTCGAGCCCGGCAGGCAGCAATAAAACGCATTGTTATTGCCCACAGCCCTGCACTCAAAAACTTCGCTAAACCCTTTCTACAGTAGGAGCCCTTATTACAATAAGCCCCATACAGCCCCATAGTTCATTTTCAGAGCCACTTAAAGCCTTGCAGATACAACTGCAGCCACGGTAGAACTCTCATATATCCCTGGTAGAAATCCCCCAAGCTCTGATTTTAGTCAAGGCCCTAAACCCTGGAATTCCCCCCAGCTCTGCTTTTGGTCAAGGGTTTAGGGTTTAGGGTCAAGGTCCTTCAATCCTGGGCAGCAGCCGGAGAGACGGAGAAGGTGCAGGAGGTTTGGCAGGACTGCTCCCTGCAGCGGAAATTTCCTGCTGAGTCAAGTCAGACAACATAATCTAGGGACCGTAATAATTACCAATGCTTTTTTTTGGGGGGGTGCCGTATCGTAGTTATAGTATAATATACTCCAAAGCCCTCTTCTATTATTAAGGCCCCTACATTAGGTGTACTTCTTGTGCACGATGTTGCTTTGACTAGGCATAGTTTGCTTCTACTTGTACTGATCGTTATTTGTTCTTGAAAGCAGAGCTTCAAATTAGTCTATTGATGGATGCTCCTCCGCAGGCATTCGTGCTGCATTCCTATGCACAGTGTTGCCGAAAGGTAGGTGGTCGTCCCAGCACATAGCAGGGGCCAGCAGCGCATTGTGAAGTGAACATGCCGTACGGTGGCCGCCGCCGCCGTAACGAGTGGGACCATGGCGCCCAGTGGCAGTGGAGGCAAGCAAGCGATGGCAGGCCTCCACGAGATGCACTGAAGCACACAGACACACTCACACTACCTATAGTCTATAGTCCATATCCGTATCTATATGTACATCTACATATCTATAATACCTATATTTAGGTGTACAAATCCAGATGTTTATACATATAAAGACATGCATAGCTCAATACATGACAATGTGTATATGTCTACATATGTATATACATATATGCATGCATGCATGCATGCATGCATGTATGTATGTATGTATGTATGTATGTATGTAAGTATGTATGTATTTATATATGTATACATATATATATATACATATATATATACATATATATACACATGCAAGTATGTATGTATGTATGTATGTATATGTATGCATATATATATATACATACTTATGCATGTATGTATGTATGTATGTATGTATGTAGGTATGTATGTATGTATGTATGTATGTACACACATATATATGTATGTACACACACATGTATATATATATATATATATATGTATTTATATGAACTGTTGATACTGGTTTTTTGTTCATATGGATATTTTCAAAACCAAGAGTTGTGGATCCACCGACGTTGCACTTCAATTGCCATCTCAGTACTTGATTGCCATGTCCCCGGCTTGTTTTATGCATAGTGCCAGGCGACAGTGGAGCTCTCGGCGAAACTTTGATGTGCGTCGCGGCGAGGACCTCCTTCACCGCTACCGCAGTGCAGGAGAGGAGCTCTACAGCCGTGCTTACGGAGCACAGGGAGTGTCCACGACCATGGCCGCATGCACAGAGAGGCCGCTTCCAGCCGCATGCAGTGCGATGAGTACAATGATGCCGGGCTCTACCCAGATGATGCTCATGTGCGATGGAGTCGGCTGGGGCCCAGGATGCTTCGTCGCTCCAGAGCCAGCTCCTGCGTTACCTTCGCCCGCCGCTAGCAGTGAAGTGCAGTGCATTATGGATAACATGCTCCGCCTGCAGCAGATGGGGCCTGAGGAGGCGGCAAAGATTCTGAAAGATATTGCCGCTCTCCAAGGGCCCTATGAGGATTGAAGAGCAGCGCGCTCTCTGTACAGTTCGGAAAACCCTTTGCGGTATCATGTCTTATGCAGTAAATCAGAGAAGCAATTTGACAATGGAACTGGCCCGACCGGGCTTTCATGCTGCTGTCGAAAGGAGCTATGGCAGCGATGTGCAGTCTGCTAACCTTGGCTTTTGTGTTAAAGCTCTAGACCCCTTCAAGCACAGGAGATCTCAGCAGCCGAGCCCAGAGTCGTCCCCGATGACGAGTGCTACTGCGCAGTGCTGCGCAGCTTTTGCGCCGCCGGGGACGCGACTCAGGTCAAGGCAGAACACTTTGGGGCTCAGGGTTTAGGTTTTCATATCAGTGTAGGGCTTTGGCTATCTTAGGTTTAGGATTTCAACGTTTAAAGCCAATGTTTCGGGTTTAGTTTACCACGCTGCTGCGACGGGATGTCAGGATGCTAATCGCCGAACACAGCTATCAATATCAGCACATACTGAAAGAACATTGATTGTCACAGTAACGACCATAAACCAGAAGGAAGCACAAGCTTCCAACCAGAATTGTGCTCATAGTACTAGCTCGTATTCATGATGGGCAAGAACAACAGTACTCATGGCAGTATACCTACCAACTTAGCCCCCCGACCGACTGGGTGCCACCCGCCCACCCGCCCACCCACCCACCTACCTACATACCAACGAACATACACACACGCATACGTACATGCATACATCCATCCATACATATACAGACATACATCCATCCATACATCCATACATCCATACATCGATCCATCCATCCATCCCTCCATCCATGCATCCATTCATCCATCCATGCATCCATCCATCCATCCATCCAGCCATCCAGCCATGCATCCATGCATGCATGCATGCATGTATATGTTCGTTTATACCTGTTGTTCATACATATAAGCACATATACATACATATATATATATATATATATATATATATACTGTATGTATCTATACTCGGTATATGTAATACTAGCCACAATTCAAGCTGCAGTTCTCGTAGCACAACTGTGACAATGTGATAGTACTTGATAGAGGGGCAGCTATAGTGCCAATGACCGGAACCTGCACAACATGCGTGTCAGAATTAGTCAAACCAAGTTCGGATGTATTCATCTTCAGCTGGTAATATCTGAAATGTTTGTAGTAAGCGGCATTGCAGTACACAGCGGGAGCCGTTGCAATCGCAGATCCGGGAGCCCTCTTTGCGCTCAACAGCCCCTTGCGACGAGTCTAAACCCAAGAAAACCCCGAAGAGTCCAAAGCAATGGCTCGCTTTGCTCAGAACACCACCTGCGGCAACACCTGCCCATGGGGCAGCGGTGATGCCAGCTTGCCGGATGCCTTCACCATCGCGGCCGAGAAGGCCGCCCGGCGACGTGAGTCCAAGGAGGCCCCGGCTCCGGCAGCGGAAGCCAGGGATGCTCCCGCCACGGAGGAGAAGGAGACCGCCCGCTCCGAGGTCACGGCCACCGCGCGCTCCGTGGCCTCACGGGCCACCAAGGCCTCTCGCGCCTCGCGGGTGCCGGACACCGGCCGCACGGAAGCGATGGAAGCGAAGATGATGGATTTGATCGAGAAGTGCGTGGACAAGAAGGTGCTTCAGATGCAGCTCCAGCCACCTGCCGGCCCTACCGGTTCCGGTCGCTCGGTGCGCACAGCCACGGCTCGCTCTGTTCGCTCGGCCCGTTCTGTGCGGTCGACAGAGAGTGTTCTGAGCCAACCCGGTGTACCATCCCACGTCGAGACCGACACCAGCGTGAAGGCAGAGCCACAGCCAGAAGCTGTGACCATGGCCGGCAAGCGGGCTCAGGCAGCGAAGCTTTCTGATGCTGCTCTCGGACAGTTCGATGACGACCAGCGTCGCCTTGCCTACCTGGAAATGCAGAAGAGTGCTGCGGAAGCCCGGAACAAGAACCGCTCCGCTCTCACCTTTGGCTACGAGCCCCCGTCGCGTGTGGAGGAGGCGAAGGGCGAGACCATGGCAGGGAAGCGTGAGAAGGCTCAGAAGCTCTCAGATGCCTCGTTGGGAAAGTTCGATGCTGACGCGTCTCGCCTTGCTTACCTGGAGATGCAGAAGAGTGCCGCGGAGGTCCGGAACAAGAACCGCTCTGCCATGTCCTTCAACGAACCCCAGGCCCAGACTTACCCGGCTTTGTTGCGCGAAGTGGATGGCTTGGCTCAGCCGACCATGGCCGGCAAGCGGGCCCAGCGGGAGAAGGTTTCGGAGGCCAAGCTGGGAAAGTTCGATGCCGACAAGTCCCACGACGCCTACATGGACATGCAGAAGAGTGCCGAGGAGATGCGCAACAAGCACCGTGTTGGGCAAGGCATCTTCTGAGCATACTCGAATCCAAAAGCTAAAAATCGAAAGACGAACCATAGGCTGGCTCCTGAGGAGCACAGCCAGTTTTGTTTATGCGGGGGGGCCTCAAAGTTTTGGTTCCAGGTGCCTGATAGGCGTGCTTGGCGGGAGATGCTTATCCCAGCTCTTGCCATGTCCTGCCTGAGGATTTACAGATCAATCAGGCTTCTGCGAGCTCACCTGTATAGAAAGGGAGCCTGAGCACTGGCTGGGTGTCCACTCCTACAAATGGAGGGGGTACATGTACAGCCTATTTGGCGGCGTCACTCAGCCAGTGCTGCTTCACCCCGTGCAGTTTCAAGAAGAGCTGTGCCTCTGATGTGTCTCGACTCACTTCGGAGATACTCGCGGGCATCGCCACACAATTTTTGCGATAGCAACGGCTACGCAGTGGATGTATTATCAGAGTCTCGTCGCAGCAAAACGCACCGAGTTTGGGGCAGCATGCTGGGTTACGATCTTCTTCTTCCTGCCACATCCTCGGGAATCCCACGGAAGCCTTGAGTAGACTACCGGGAGAAAATCGAAGAAGCCGCCGATCAGGCTTGGCTAGACCGCTTCGAGTGGGAGGGCATCTCCTTGAATTGGGAGACCTACACAGAGCTGATCAAGTTGGAATCTGAGCGAACGCTTAGGCTCCAGGTCATGGCATGCCTTGTTGTCGTGCATTCTCACGGTTGTGATTTCTTTGCATTTGCTATCTTAATGCATTCTATCGACATAAATAATACAGGTGTCGGAATCATTGGCAATGCAAATGCAATATACCCGTAAATCCTGTCCTGCCTATATGTAGAGTCCCTATAGTAGCCAGTGACTGTTTCCTGCTCGAATTATTACTGGCCCGTCTATTCTAAAGCGTATACGTAGAACCCCTGTAGTAGCCAGTGACTGTTTCCCATTCGACCCGCCCAGGTTCTACACTTCCCGAGGTGAGCTACAAGAAGCGCGAGGGGCCGAGAGTTTCGGCCAAAGCCGCAACCGGTTGAGTGCTTACAGTGGGCTTACAGCGTTTAGGGTTTCGGGTTTATGGTCTCGGTGTTGAGGTTTTACCAGGGGGTTTTAGGGTTTAGGGGTTTGGGCTTTAGGATTCAGTTTCAGTGTTTTGTCGATTTCGGGTTTTTGGACAACGTAAACCCTAAACCCTCAAGCTCTACACCCCTAAACCCCTAAACCCCTAAACCCGCCCAGCCCCATCGGACCCGTTGTCCGAGTTTCTCTCTGCAACTTCACCTCCCCCAAACCCTAAACCCTAAACCCTAAGCCCTAAGCCCTAACCCCTAAACCCCTAAACCCTAAACCGTGAACCCTAAGCCCTAAACCCTAAACCCCTAAACCCTAAACCGTGAACCCTAACCCTAAACCTGAACCCTAAACCGGAAAACCCCGAGGTTCGAGCTCTCAGAGATGGTCGCCGAAGGCGACGCCTTTGAACCCGGCCCAGGCAGGGTTGTAGTGTTTAGGGTTTAGGGTAGTTTAGGGTTTAGGGTTCAGGTTTTGGGGTTTAGGGTTTAGGTTTTGGGGTTTAGGGTTTAGGTTTTGGGGTTTAGGGTTTAGCGGTTCGGGGTTTAGGTTTTATAGGGTTTAGGGTAGTTTAGGCTTTAGAGTTGCGGGTTCCTGGATGGGCTTGGGCTTTCTTCGGGCTTTAGTTACGTCGTAAGCGTTCTAAAGTTTGGTTTTTCGATCTTAGACGGCTTTAGTTTGCTTCTCACGTTTTTTGACGGTTTAGGATGCCCAGGGTTTTGGAGTCCAGCCTTTGGGGTTCGGCCGGAGTGCAAGCATTGACTATAAGGGCTCAAATAATTGCCAATATTTTTCCTTAGGGTTCCTTATTATAGTATCATGGGCCCCAACCCTATTCTAATTATTAATGCCCTTACATTAGTGAGAGGGATGTTGGCAGTGCCGGTCATGGTCCCCCCCCTCCCCCTCCGCTCGCCGCGCGGCGAGCGGCCAAAGAATAGACAAAGCGTTCCCGGTTGCTCTACAAGTGGTTAGGGTTTAGGGTGTCCTAAAAGGGCCTTAATGTTTACCGATACTATTGTGGGGGTTCCTTATTATAATTAAGTATGGGTTTAGGGTGTAGGGTTTTGGATAGTAGAGTTTCAGGGTTGATTGCGTGTGGTCCTGGTCACACTTATAGCAGGTTTGATTTTGAAAGGGGGGCCGGGGCATCCTCAGTGCACCTCAGTTGAGGGGTGTGTTCCTTCCAAGCCTGCTCCTAGGTAGTATCAAGGAGACCCCTTGAAGGGGACCCTTCTTAACACTACCTCTGGCCTGCCTAATCCTAGCTCCAAGACCTGCCAGGCATCACTGAAATCCAAGGCTTCTGGCGCCCCTGGTCCTCACGCCAGCATTCCTCCCAAAAGACAAGCCCTCAGCCCTAAACTGTAATCCCTAAACCTTAAACTCTAATCCCCTAAACCCCAAACTAAACCCTAAACGCCAACACCCCCAAACCGCAAGTTCCCTCCCGCCAGGCGCATGGCTCAGACAGCTGGAGGCCGGCTGACAGTCGTTTTAGGGTTTAGGGCTTCGCCTTCAGGCTTTACTTACCTTGGGTTAGTAGGGAAGGGAGGAATGGGGTACAATTATAACTACTATTACTACCATTCTTCCATTCCCTACTAACCAAAGGTAAGTTTAGAGTTTGGGGTTTAAGATTGAGGGTTTAGGATTGAGTCTATTTTTCGGTGGACCTCGCAGGGTTTTGCGGTTGCTGGTGTCTTAGGCTTTTGAGTTTTGGGGATAGGAGTTTAGGTTTCGGTATAAAGGGTTGAGTTGTAGAGTTTACGCTGCGCGCTTTCTTTGCCAGATGTCGTAGGTTTTCTGGCCATTGTGTTCATCACTGCTGCCAGTGCATTCTTCGTGTGACAGCCACCTGCAAAGATGATTTGCACTTGTGGGATATTGTCCAGTCTCGTCGGTTTGAGTCTGGAGAGAGTGGCTCTCGTACTGTTTCAGTTTGATGATGATGATGATGATGTACTGTACTAGTACTATGTGTTACTGATGCTACCGTTGACTTGCGTGTGAACACTACTTACTGGTGTCTGACCTGCTATCATCATTGTTTCTAGCATGAACACGGGTGCATTCTGTCTCTTAAGTTGTTAGGTATGTTTTCTAAAGCCACGCTAAGGTTGGCTGCTTTGCCGTCGCGCGCGCAGTAAGACGCTGATGAGTCTGAGGAATAATAAGTGAAGCTGTTAGCATAGCCATCGCATTGAAAGTGATATCTTTCACCATTCCGGGCTATCTATCATGATGACCCTGAAAGGTTCCAGGGTGCAGGGGCGGCCCGCCGCGGTTCTGTGTTTTTCCGCTTTGGAAGCTCGATCCTTCCCCAGCATCCGGCTTAAGCACAGGATCGGGGGACTTAGTAAATAGGAGTACGGAGTACAATGCAAGATGACGTAGGCAAAACAGAGTAGTGCCTGCCCACCTTGAGACGCTTAGGACCCTATCTACAACTACCCACGGACCCCGTCCCCGATTGAAAATACAGAAATCCTTGATCCTTCAAGCTTAGAATCCAAGGGTAAAAGGAGGGACCCTTAATGGGGACCCCTAGGTATATACCCTTCATATAGCTATTATGTAGCCATTATTTAGCCCATTATAGGGTAGGGGTCCCCATTAAGGGTCCCTCCTTTTCCCCTTTGATAGAACAGGGTTCAGGGTTTCGGGATGTTTAGGGTTCTGGTTGTGGGGGCTGATTCCTCCAGGAATCGGAGGTGGCAAGGCTCGAGGGTTTTTTTGGAAATTTTGTTGAAAGTTACGGAATTAAATTAAACTAAATTAAGTTATCATAATCAAGAAACCACATCATTTACTGTCTTACTAGAGATCCCCATGACGGTAGCTTAAATCAAATTCCTCAACAAGAATTCATTTTTGAGGAAACCCTTTCAGCAGGCGGCTGCTGACCAGGGCAGCACCGAGCAAGTGGAGAAGGCCGGCCCTGCCTCGCTCACTGGTCGGTGCGGGAGGGCGATACAGTAACGGCAAGCGTTTCAAAAGCTAGTAGTTCTCAGAAAGAACCTAACCATTCTTTTTCTAGAATCTAGAAGGGTTTTGTGTTGGTCAGGTGTTTTTCATCGCAACAAACAGGGCTTGGGGTTCCTTGAACAGTCAATGGAGCCTATGAGTTTCCAAAGCGCTTGAGGCGTCACCGACTTTCTAGAGCTTATGGGCTGAGGGCCCGAGGGCCCTGAAGGCCTGGCTCGCCTTGCCCCAAAGCCCGAAAGTGAAACCTGGATTACACCTTCAACTATAAAGCTGAAGCCATAACCCTACTCCCCTAAACGCCGCAGTTACTACCCAAACCCAGGAGACCAACAGCTAAAAGCTGCGGAGGTTGCGCTTGCCATGCACCGCTACTGCGGAAGCCTGGGCAAGACGGGGCGAGGCCTTTGGGCTACGACATACACCAGGGTTGTTGCTGTAGTCGCTCTAGTGCCGCAGAAGCAGAAGAAGAAGTAGTAGTAGTGTAGTGGTAGTAGCAGTAGTGCCAGTGGTGGTCGAAATAGTAGTAGCAGTAGTAGTAGCAGTAGCAGTAGCAGTAGCAGTAGTAGTAGTAGTAGTAGTAGTAGTAGTAGTAGTAGTAGTAGTAGTAGTAGTAGCAAACACAGCAGTAGCACCAGCGGGAGGAGGAGGCGGGGGAGGAGTAGTGGAAGTAGAAGTAGAAGAAGTAGAAGTAGAAGTAGAAGTAGTAGTAGTAGTAGTAGTAGTAGTAGTAGTAGTAGTAGTAGTAGTAGTAGTAGTAGTAGTAGTGGTGGTAGTAGTAGTAGTAGCAGTGGTAGTAGCAGCAGTAGCAGTAGCAGTAGCAGTAGCAGTAGCAGTAGCAGTAGCAGTAGCAGTAGCAGTAGTAGTATAGTAGTAGCAGCAGTCGTAATGATATTAGTAGTATACTGGACTCGTACGACCACACATCTGCCAGGCAGGAGAAAGACATTGATGGCCCTACGGCAATGACCACAAACAAGCAACATTAAGAATAAGGCTGTCATAGGCTGTCAAATCCCGTGGACAAACCCCAAGTCCGAATCCCAAAGCCTTTAAACCATGTATCCTGAAGCCTAAACAACAACCCCTGATGCCGAACATGTCAGGCCTTGTGAAGAAGGCCTTGTCAGAGGAGCGCGTCGAGGTGAGGATACCACCCAAGAATGCGCAAAGCCATGATACCTGTGGAAATATGTGTGTGTGTGATACTATAATAAAATACTAACACTATGTGATACAGGACCATGAATATGGTAGTATACAGTGGTAGTGATTGTTCCTGATGCCTAGTGTATTATAGCAAGGATGCTGGGTCCTTAATTTCCGAGTGTCAAGTCCCGAAACTCGTGCCGCCTTTGGCAGGCAAGAGCCGGTAATTGATCATTGCCTTTCTGACGAATTACTCGTTGGGTTGTCCAGTCCTGTTGTCTTATTGTAGTGGTAGTTGGGGGACTATAGTGTTGCTTTTCTTCGTACTTATAGGCTCATGGGACTTAGTAAGTAAGGTTATAATTATAAGTAGGTTATAATTAGGATAACCCCACTTAGGGGACTTATAACCCCAATTATAACCTACTTACTAAGTCCCTTGATCCTCTAAGTAGGCACCATCAGGGGCAGCTAGCTTTGGGGGCCCAAAGGTTTGCAACTTTGAGTTTCCAATGCTGACCAGCACGCCTACTGCAAACCTAGGCCTTGAAAGACAAAGTGGACTTCTAAGGGTGGACTCATTCTAAGTCCAAGTCTGTGAGATCTAGTTGAATGGTCCAAACCCGAACCTTGAGCCTAAACCCTCAAAATCCTTCAAGCTTGAACAGTACATATCTCCGTGGCTAAGGATCTTGAGCAAGAGGGTTTCCGAGAGCAGCATTGTCAACTCGTGTGTTACTCGGGGCATATCAAGAGTATATGCTACATGCAGGGACTATTATAAGGGACATGATAAAATGCCACTTCGCACACTTCCTGCGTCGCTACCTGATGCCTCTGCACTCTTGGGGCCATGTCTCGTCCTGCAGCTGTTTGGGCTTTGAGACTCTGGCATGCAGTCGTCCTTCAGGCGTGCGATAGATTTCAGAGATTATCGTCACAGCCGTAGCTGTGGTATAGCTGCCTTCGGAGCTGCAGCGATGTCGCACTTCATGATGCTTGGACGGCTTCTTCTCCTCTGCGCCTTCACCCAGGTCCCTAGCCAAGCGACCGCCAAGATACGACGAGGGGGTTGCTGAAATCGGGCTTGGCCCTAGACTCCACAACCCTCAAACCCAGAAGCCTGAAGCCCTAAACCCTAAAGCCTGAAACCCTAAACCCTCAAACCCAAAAGCCTGAAACCCCTGAGATGCCAAAACCCGAAGACTGGGCTCGTTCGGGGCTTAGAGGCAGTTTGGGGCACCTTGTCACGCAGTATCTGTCGGGGAGCTAGGCATCAAGGTTCAAGCGTTTACACCAAGGGCTGTTTTGAACCCTAAACCCTAAACCCCAAACCTTCTCAGGTGTAGCCTCTGAAAGCTTCGCCTCTGCACCCTCGGGTTTATCCGTGTTCAGAGCAGCACCAGGGTGTGACGGTTCCTGGCATGCTTGCCGCGCCGGTTGCTTCTGCACGTTCTGACCTGTTATCAGCTCGAAGTAGTTCCTTCGCCATTTTCTGGGTGTCCTTTTCAATGTGTTGTCTCCACGCACTAGGTATGAAGTGTCGTTTCTGCTGCTGCTGTTGTTGGCGTTTGTTGTTGTGGCTGTTGTTGGTGTTGCTGCTGTGGCTGTGGCTGTGGCTTTCGCTTTGTTGTTGGCGTTGCTGCTGTTGTTGTTGCTGTTGGTTGTGGTTGCGGGTTGTTGTTGTTGTTGTTGCTGTTGGTGTTGTTGGTCTTGTTGCTACTGCTGTTGCTGTTGCTGTTGCTGTTGCTGTTGCTGTTGCTGTTGCTGTTGCTGTTGCTGTTGCTGTTGCTGCCGCTGTTGCTGTTGTGGTTCTGGTTATGGTTCCGGTTCTGGTTCTGGTTCTGGTTCTGGTTGTTGTTGTTGCTGTTGTTGTTGCTTCCTGTTCCTGTTATGGTTCTTGTTGCTGCTGCTGCTGCTTCTGCCGCTGCTGCTGTGTTGTGGCAAAAGCAGCAGCGGCAAGAACAAGAACAGGAGCAGGAACGGGAACAATAACAATACAAATAGCAATTACAAGAACAAGATTCTGAGGACTAACAACAACCAAGCCTTGTAAGTTCAACCCGAAAGCATTTCGACAACTAGTGGAGGCCCGCAAACCCTACAGTAGTCCTAGAACGGCTATAGAGTATAGTCCTCGGTAGCCCTTTGTAGTAACCCGTATCGTAACTAGTACTGTAGCCCCTTATAGTTTCCCTCATCGTAACCCTTTTACTACCCCACCCTAAACTTGAGACCCCAAACCCTAAGCCCTAAGCCCTAAACCTTAAACCCTAAGCCCTAAACCCTAAGCTCTAAACCCTAAGCCCTAAACCCTAAACCCTAAACCTAAACCCTAAACTCCGCCAGGCCCTCAACTTTCGTCCTCCGTGCGCTCCGCTGGATGTGGCCTCGCCGTATCAAAGCACCTGGAGCTGCCCCTCGGCTCTGCTTCGGGGTTTACATCATGGAGGCCAAAAGGGGCTTTAGCCTATGAAGGCTTAGTAGGGATTAGGTTCCCACAATAGGGTTCATATTAAGGAATCTGCTTCCCAGAGACTCCAATACCCTTTAATTAAGGAATATTCCTTAAGTTATAGCAGGATCCCTGAAATGGTTTAAGGTGCATATTCCTTAACTTAGGAATATTGGAGGCTCTGCTTCGGGAGCTACTGTATTGTTGAGTGCCGTGGAGTTTAGGGTTTTTGGCTTGGGGTTTGTGGTTGGGTGCTTTGAGGTTTAGGGTTCTGGGCTTTGGGGCTTGGGTTCAGGGCTCAAAGTTTTCGTGTTTCAGTACTTGTCTCCAACCTGCGGGGTGGAATTTCGGTTTCGGCGGAGCCACGGAATGCCCCGCGCACCGTGCGATATTCAATGACGCTTTGCTTGGCTTAGTTGTCAGAGCCAAACCAGGACCATGCCCAGAGATATTGGTGGCCAACGTTTCAGGAGTTCGTACAACCCGTCTGGTGAACTTCATAGTAATAACTTGTGTAGTAGCCCCTGTAATAGCCGTCAAGAGCAACTCATTATCTCCATAGTGGGGCTTCCGGCACTTGTAGTAATATAGGGGCCTTAATAATTAGAATTGGGTTTGGGGTATGTTATACTCTAGTTATATGAAGGAACCCCCAAGATAGTATAGGAATTATGAAGGCCTCTACAGTAGGGGAGTCCCTTCACAGCAGGCCTTGCTGGCTCCTTTGCTAAGTGAGCACCTGCAAATCGTCAGCCCTCGTGACTCCTGTGCTGAAAACCGCGTGTGAAGCGGTTTAGGTTTCAGGGTTCAGGGTGTAGTGTTTAGGGGGTTAAGGGGTTTAGGATTTAGCGGTTTACGGTTTTGAGGTTTAGCGTTTTAGGGTTTGGGGCTTGCTTGTATATGCCAGGACCAGGATACCCTCCGATCCTTCTACAATCCGTGGCCCTCGAGAAAAGCTCTCTGGCACAGGCACCGACAACCTGACGGATGGATCACCTGTGCACTGGACAGGCTGGGTGGATATGCGATTCCGTTTTTAGAAGGCGGCAACCAATGTTGGTGCTAATCTGATCTAGCAACAAGGGACGGTGGCGGATTGTTTGCATCATGGCATTGGAGTAACGAGAACGAGGTTCAACGGTCCCCGATTTGGCACAGCTGTAGCATGCGCACTGGACAGATATGCTTAGGGCATGTCGCTCAAAGAGATCATCGAACATCGAGGGTCAAAAGGCTCCTACGTTTGCACACCACGCTCTTGCCGGCATTCGCTCCTTCACCGTAAGTGCCCTAAACCCTAAACCCCAAACCCCTAAACCCCAGGGCCCTAAGCCCTAAACCCTAAACCCTAACCCCTAAACCCTGAACCCTAAACCCTAAACCCTAAACCCCAAACCCCTAAACCCCAGGGCCCTAAGCCCTAAGCCCTAAACCCTAACCCCTAAACCCTGAACCCTAAACCCTAAACCCTAAACCCCAAACCCCTAAACCCCAGGGCCCTAAGCCCTAAGCCCCTAAGCCTCCCCGGCTTTCCCTGGCAACATCTTGCGGCAAAGTCCTTCACCCCGAAGCTCGGCCGTGCAACACCCGGAAACTCTGATCTTTAACACCCTCGATAGAACCTTCATAGATTCTTTCTGGGTTATTGGTTTAGGGTTTATAGATTCTTTCTGGGTTTGGGGTTTAGGGTTTATAGATTCTTTCTGGATTTAGGGTTTAGGGTTTATAGATTCTTTCTGGGTTTAGGGTTTAGGGTTGATAGATTCCTTCAAGGAGCCCTTAGAAGAACCCACGATATAGAGGCACTAGACAGTGAATGGGGAGGCGATGCGCTTGATTGGGTCGGCCTGATTCGGGTGGACAATGCCATCTACCGCTGGCTGGGCCAGCCCATTCAGGACGGAAAGGGTTACTAGACGGGATACTGTGAGGGTTACTGTAACTGCAAGGGGAACTTTCATAGTGGTAACGGGTACTCCAAGGTTCGTATAAACGTTGCTAGAAGGAGTTACTGGAAGGGCTTGAGGGTTGCAGGCTTCAGGGTAGTACAGCGTAAGAGGCCCAGGGTCCGGTTTTATTTGAGGCTTTGGAGTTTCGTATTTAATGCTTGGCGGGAGCGGCTTCAGGCTTCCCTGCAAGTCCTTCACAGCGGTCACAAACGATTTGCCAGGAATGCCAAATTCCGTCAAACTCAGCACCTCGCAATCTCAGTCTTGAAGAGCGAGTGAAAGTTATTGATCCATCTTCTGAATATACAGTCATCGGAGCATACTACGCCACAAAAAGCCTGACTCTGATTTCTAATCCCTTCAGCAGCTGGCACCGGCATTCAACCTCCGAACCCAGAGCCCCAGCAAATCGGCAAGACTCCGGGACTTGAGCCCTACCTAGAGTCTCCATTGTAGTTCCTTTTTTTGGTTAACCAGTTTTATGGTTAGGTTCCTATAATAGAGATTTTGGTTCACCAAAAAAAGGAACTACAATGGAGACTACAGGTAAGCCCCAACGATCTGTCGGGTTCTGGAATGCCGAACTCGCCCATGGCCTGGAGTGAACCACGATCTGCCACATGGGCTTCCTTTAAAAGGGATTTATAAGGGTTACTATAAGGGATCTATAAGGGTACAATAATATAGGGGCCTAAATAATTTTACGGTCCCTTTTTGGGTCCTTAATGATTTCTTTGCGGCACCTAGTATTTAGGGTACCCAAAAATAGGGGTCATAATTTTGACAACTACCCACATACGGAAAGGTTTAGGGGATTTGATGAGAAAGACGAGAAATAAGGCGGGCGTTCGGGCTTTAGGGGTCAAGGGGTGTCGGGTTCAGGGGGTGCCGTGTGCAGCAGGTTTCAGGGGTTGAAGTTCAGGCATGAGGGTAGTATTCTTGCGATTATTACTATTACCGTGAGTATTACTGTATATTACTGTTATTGTTATTTATTATTCTTGTTGCTAATACTATTATTGTTATCATTGTTGGTATTGTGTTACTCTTATTGCAGCTCTTAGTTTTGTTGCTACCTACTTCTTCTCACCCCAAATCAAGAGACAAAGCCCTAAGCGGTGCAGGACGTCGCCGCCGCACAGCAACTCAGCATCGATGTCCTGCCGACGCTGACGCGCTATGTCTTCCAGGCCCATAATATAGGGGCGTAAATAATTACCAATACTATTTTGGGGTTCCTTGCTATGATTATAGTAGAATGGGTCCCGAAACCGGATTCTAAGTATTAAGGCCCCTATATCACGTGAGAGGGGTTTGTGGCTTGGCGTTCGGTTTTGGGTTCGGGGTCGATGGTTCTGGACGAAAGAGTAAGGGCTTCACTCTATAAACCCTGAAACCCTAAACATCAGTCAGAACTGCCCTGAGCCTTTACATGCCCCGAAACTCTTAAACCCCCACGCCCTAAACCTTAAACCCAAGTGCCCCGGATCCCCTAAGCCCTAAACCCTGTACCCTAAACCCCCAGATCCCCCCCAAACCCCAAATGAACCCTAACCCTTTACCTTAAACTCTAAACCCCCAAATCCCTAAACCCCTGAACCCTGAACCCTGGACCCTATACCCGAAACTCGAGAATTCCTCCCGCCCCAGGCAGGCTCGGCCACTCTCACCGTAGAATTTCTCACGCCCGCTGTCGATCATGACAAGGACGCTGTCCGGTTAAGGACGGTAGTTAGTTGGGAGAAGCATACATAGATATACCCGAAACCCTAAAGCCCCAAACCCAAAAACCCAAACCCTAAACCCCAACCGCTTCAGATATAAATATAGATGTAGCGGGTGGTATGGTTTCCTCATGTTGGTAGCTTTTTCAAAAAGGGTTTCGTAACACGAACCGAGTTGGCTGGAATATCCAGCCACGGCTTTGATCTTAAGCATATCATGTTATATTTTATTATGATATATCATATATATATATGTAGTATAATCTACTAGTATATATTCTGCTATTTCGAATTTTTATACCGTATTATACATATATATATATATATATATATATACACATATATTCTAGTTTGTTGAAGTTTAGGGTTAATTAACTCCTACACCCTTCACCCATGATGACTGAGGTCTTGCGTTACCGGACTGACGTTTAGGGCTTTTTGATGGCTTTGGGGTTTCAGGCCCGGCGCTCTTCCTAGCAAGTGCTGCCCTTCTTCGTGATCGAAGCTCTCGTCTCAGTGTGTGTGTGTGTGTCTGTCTGTGTGTCTGTGTGTGAAGTCTCTTGTTATGTAGTGTTTCAGTGATTCATGTGTGTGATCTGTGGCCTTGCGTCCTCTTGGGGCATCTTATTTTTCCTCCCCTCCCCATCATATTGGCGATCGTCGTCGACTCGTCGTGTCGTCGTGCTTGCAGTAGTTGCAGTAGTAGTAGGAGGAGGAGTAGTAGCAGCAGCAGTAGCAGTAGTAGCAGTAGCAGCAGTAGTCGTAGTAGTAGTAGTAGTAGTAGTAGTAGTAGCAGTAGTAGTAGTAGTAGTAGTAGCAGTAGTAGTAGTAGTAGTAGTAGTAGTAGTAGTAGTAGTAGTAGTAGTAGTAGTAGTAGTAGTGGTAGTAGTAGACAAGGGGCGAGTACTAGTAGTTGCGAGGCTGTTGCTGCTGCTGCTGGTGCGGTTGCTGTTCTTGTCGTTGCTCTTGTTCTCAGTGTTGCTAATGCTCTTGAGTTTTGGTGATTTTGCTGCTTTCTGATTTTGCTCTTGCTCTTGCTCTTAATTACTTGTGTGCTCCGTGCCGTGCTGCTGAGTGATAGTACATGTTTCCGCTGTTTTGCGAGGAGTTCGTTTGGGCGACATGCCCTGTGACAACTGTCAGCTTCCTGATCGAGGGAAGCGGGTCGGCGGAGGTGTACTTCGTTCCTTGGCCGGCGAACATGTCCAATGAAGGCATAAAGCAGGGCTGGTCTCAGAAAGCACGCATAGAATGCAAACACCCGGAATGCAGCAGTCGCAGTCGTGTTGCTTACATGCTTGTCCTCGTCTTTGGTATGATCGTCGTCAGCATCCTCCACCACCTCTCCGTAGTCGTGCTCGTGGTAGCGTTGTGTGGCTGCAGCTATCATTGTCGTTGCAGGCAGCGAAGATGATCGAGACAGGAATCACAGGAGCTCATTTTGTGAATTCGTTCTTTGCTCAACTTTCGTCCGTGCTCGCGCTTCGAAGGCAAGGCTTCGTTCCATAGCTTGTTCCCAACCCGCAGCCCTAAACTCAACAGCTGTAAGGCCACGCTCAATGCTTTCCACTTGTGCCGACATGTACATCAATGCCCGCTTCAACCTCCTCAGCACTCAGCAAGTAACCCTCCGAACGAGTTTTCGAGCTGCTTGACGGTTGCACTCAGGACATGTCTGCCGCCACTGCCACGCAAAAAGCTGACCAGGAGGCAGGTGGGAGTTCACAAAACATACACACTTACGGTCTTGATTTTGCATGTCCAGGGCCAGGGGCCTGCTGCATTGATTTGATGGCAAAGGCCAGCCCTAAACCCTAAAGCCTAAACCCTAAGTAGCAGACCCCAGAACTTGCGTCCCTATCTTAGGCCAGCTCTCCAGCTATGTCCGTCAGATTTAGCGCACCCGGTCCATCTGCATCCACCTCCGATGCCTTTGTAGCTGCTTCTATCTGTCTCGATCTCTGCATAGCTCCAAATCCTGCACCATGAAGACTTGTATGTACTATCGACATGAGATCCTACACTCTGAACGTATACCATACTATCATATGCAAGCCTAATTAAAGTAGTTGGACTTGAGTTTTGTTGAGGACTAAAACAGCTTAATGCTGATCAGGAACCCCCAAGAAACAGTATCCCTAAATCTACAGAACCCTAAACCCTGAACCGTAAACCGCTAAAGCCAAATCTCCGTGCGAAGGTCACCTGGGCCCGCGAGCCAGGTCCAGGCATCGAAGTCATGCGCACGGGGACGGTCGCGCAGAAGGTTTGTGGTCAGACCTCCGACCGCTGTGTGCGGGGCTTAGACGGGTTTGAGGCTAGGGTCTATTGGGTTCTAAGATGTTCTAAACATATTGGAGAAAAGTTGTTCCTCAATATGCTTTGCAATAAGAACTCCGATTGCTGTTTGCCGGAGCTTAGAAGGGTTTAGGGCTAGGGTTTGGCATTTGAAACATATTGCGGCACAGTTGCTCCTCAACATGCTTTGCGGTGAAACCTCCGACCGCTGTGTGCCGGGGCATTAGAAGGAGTTAGGGCTATACAGGATTTGGGATTCTAAACATATTGTGGAACAGTTGTTCCTCGATGTGCTTTGCGGTCAAACCTCCGACCGCTGTGTGCCGGGGCTTAGAAGAGTTTAGGGCTAGGGTTTGGCATTTTAAACATATTGGGGAACAGTTGTTCCTCAATATGCTTTGCGGTCACACCTCCGACCGCTGTGTGCCGGGGCATAGAAGGGTTTAGGGCTAGGGTTTGGCATTTGAAACATATTGGGGAACAGTTGTTCCCCAATATGATTTGCGGTCACACTTCCGACCGCTGCGTGTCGGGGCCCAGTAGGGTTTAGGGCTAGGGTTTGGCATTTTAAGCATATTGGGGAACAGTTGTTCCTCAATATGCCTTGCGGTCACACCTCCGACCGCTGTGTGCCGGGGCTTAGTAGGGTTTTAGGGCTAGGGTTTGGCACTTGAAACATATTGGGGAACAGCTGTTCCTCAATATGCTTTGCGGTCAGCAATGTGCCGGGGCATAGAAGGGTTTAGGGCCAGGGTTTGGCATTCTAAACATATTGCGGAACAGTTGATCCTCAATATGCTTTGCGCTCAGATCTCCGAATACTGTGTGGCGGGGCAGAGACGGGTTGAAACTTGGAGTTTCAGGATCTAGGGTGCAGGAGATACAGCTTTTCCTTTTCCGGCGCCACGGCTGCAGCAGCCGTGGCATTGCGGCCTTGCATTGAACCTTTTCGGTGCCGAACTTCGCTTGGTAAGTCAGTAAGGCGAGCGTGAGTCAGTGCAGGAGATAGTAATCGTTGATTTTCGTTGTGGTTTCTTGATTTCACGGTTGGATTGCTTTTTGCTGTCAGCCTAACAGTTAGGGTTTAGTTTTGGTGCTCAAGGTTTTGGATTTGAGCCCGAAGCCCTCAACACGGTACCCGAAGCCGTGGATCTGGAGCAAACTTTGAATCCTTGGTTCCATGGCATCGAGCAGAAGCCAAGCCATGTAAACCTGAGACACCCGGAGCTCCCGCCCATACTTACTAAGTCCCATGATCCTCCAAGTAAAGGAGCCCTTACAGGCAGCCTAAAGCTTCCAGGACTGGGGTTTCCGCTACGTCGCCGTGGCCTCCGGAGCCAAGACTGTGATGGCTTCGGCGTCTCAAACGCGTGCCGCCTTCGCTCAGGGCACCTACTCAAAGATGGAGGACTTGGCGTTAACGGCTTTAGGGCTTATGCACTATTCTTGAATATGGTTTAGGGCCTAGAGTTGCAAGGTTTGGTGTAGTGTGTTTCGGACCCCCGCGATAGTACCAGTTGCCACCAGGTCAAAGGTTGGGTGTCCTTAAGGGTGAACCCAATGTTAAACCCATCGTTAAGCCACCTTTCCTGTCATGCGGGAGGGCTTTAATGGGAGTTTCCGAAAATAGGGGACCCTAATATAGTACCCTAAATAGTAGGATCCTTATCATAAGGATCCCAAACAAGGTACCCATAATTTTTGGAAACTCCCATATACCTCTTCAGGAGAGCCTTTCAACTTGGGGCGCAGCCAGGGCTAGGGCTCCGGGGGGCCAGGAATGCTTCGGGGTTTGGGTTTCAGGGGGTGGAGGCCGAATGCTGCTCTTTGACCGTTTTATATACGAGTTGTAGTCTTCGCCATGATGACGATGGAGTTGATGATGTTGGCGATGCAGGTGCCGGTGATGATGGTGATGATGATTTCGGTTTCTGCCAGTCGCAACATGCTCCACCCGCTAAGCCTAATCCCAAGCCGAAGCCCTAAACCCTAAAATGCTCCTAACCCTAAACCCTGAATGCTCCTGAACTTTTCGGCCCCTGTCAATCACAACATGTTTCACCCGCTAAGCCTAAGCCCAAGCCAGAGGCTCTTGAGCCTCAATGCTGTTTAATTTTTCCTAGATTATTTTGGGGTTCCTTATTATAACTATATCATACTTATATGATGATTACATGATTCATGATGGTTCCATTACGATTGTTTTGTGGTTATATTATGACTATATCATGAATATATTATACATATTGCAGCATAGCTATAATGGCCCCGAAACCCTATTCTACTTATGAAGGCGCGGAGCCTACATTAATTAAAGGCTCCCGGCCTTCCCCCCAGGACGATGCCGGCCCTGCAAGGAAGGCTTCCGACCGACCGTTGGTGCTGTCGGCGGCGCTGGCAGCATCTTTGGCGACGAATACTGAAGCCAGTTTAGGGTTTAGGGTTTAGGGTTTAGGGAAAGTTTAGGGTTTAGGGCCAAACCAACGTGTAAAAGGAGTTTGCCAGTTCTTGTGACAACTACGCCCTCACACCAACCGCGACCGGTGTTTCGACTGGCACAGCAGTTGCATCGGGTGGTATTAAATTAGGATCCCTACGAGGTCGGTGCTCGTATTTTGTGCGCTAGTATCTCGGCTGGTCGGGGTTCCGATTATGGACTTCGGGTTTGGGGTTTGTCGGCCGGCGTTCTGAGTGGTTCTTTAGGCTCCGAGATTAGGCAAGATGTAGGAGAGAATTGGGGGCTTCCACTTCTGAAGCCCTCAAGCTCCCACCTCCCAGCACCGGTGAAGCCCTAACCTCCTAAAACCCGGCCCCTTCAACTCCCAAGGCTCCGTACCCTAAGCCTTAGGGGTACTTAGAACTAATTTTAGTTTTTGGTTATCATAATCCCTCAGACACAGCTAAAATTATAATTTTTGCTACGGTTTTACCCCAAACTAAACCATGCGTAGCCCAAACCCGAAACCAAGGTCACTCCGGGCACAGCCGCCAGGCTGCACCTGATGCTGGATGAGGCCCGCTTCCTCCTCCCCCCCACACGCACCCATCTTAGGGCTTATAGGGCCTATAGGGGCTTTAGGAGTTGTAGGGTTCCCATCTTAGGGTTTAGGGTATAGTGATTTTAGGCTTGTAGGGTTCTGGGGTTCAGGGTTTGTTCAAGGAGATTTGTGCTGGTTTGAGAGCAAGTCTATAATGGCTGTACGAACTTATGTAGAGAAGTAAGAAACAGAAGCACGCACACATTCATTAAGCAGAAGCCTCGATATTACCAACATTCTGTGCTGTACTGACCTCGCGGCTGTCGGCATGCTGCTGCACAAGCAGATTGGTTAACCCTGAGGACAAAGCTTGCAATTCAGCTTAAACCGTCAGCACACCCTAAAACTTAAACTGCTCGTGGAGGTTGTGGCCCAGCGATTCTTCGGCACAGACCTGCGGCCTCTGTGGACGCAGCACTTCAAGAACGCGACGCTGGCCTTGGCCGCCGCTGAGGAGCAAACGGAGGTTCGAAGAAGCCGGGCACAGGACCCAGCAGTGTCGAGCTCTTCGCCTCTGCATCTGCTGCTGCTGCTGATGCTACCTACGTACTCCTACTGCTCCTACTCCTACTACTACTCGTACTACTACTACGACGACGACGACAACTACTACTACTACTACTACTACTACTACTACTACTACTACTACTACAACTTCTACTACGACTACGACTACGACTACGACTACTACGACGACGACGACGACTACTACTACTACTGCTAGCCGACAGCCTGCTCCTGTGACCCCCTTATCTGGCCCTACAGCACCAAAGGGCTGCGAACTACTACTACTACTACTACTACTACTATTTTTCAATTGAACGCTGCGCGAGCGTGCTCTGCGCTTTGCGGGCGCCTTTGGTCTCATGCACTCGTGAAACTGCTTCTAGCATGCATCGCTCAGGTCTCTCTAATCAGCTCGAACTTGACATACTACTGCAACTGCTACTGCTACAAAAAGCTTCCTTCTCCGACACCTTGGTGTGAACAGACGCGTCCATCTGTGCACCTGTCTCAACAACTAGGCCGTACCTCAGAGGAAGCCGCCACCTGGAGTATCCGTCTCGTGGCGTCCCACACGGATTACTCATGTTGAAGACAGAAGGCCGTAAGGGTCATGTGCGGATGACCGCTGGTACCTGAAGCAATTTCGGTGGCTTGAGTCTTTGGGCAGCTATGATGCTGGCAGTTCGCTGAATCGCAAAGTGCCGTTTTAAGCGAGGCTAGCACGCAATTCACATTCTTCCGAAGAGATGTGCTAGGCGTCGGAAGAGTGCCGAATTCCCTGAGTCTGTGACATAAGGGATCATAGAGTCTGTGACATATTACCGCCCTCACTGGTCATGACCTTTTGGCCACTGCTGAGAGTATCCGTGCCAGGACCACTGCTGCCACCAGTCCCAGTCGTCGTCCTGAGATGAGCGTGCCTGTCTGGCCCACTGGGACGAGGAGGATGAGGAGGGGCCATCGCGCTGCCGCTTGCCCTCTGTGTCAGCCTCCTGCATCTGTGGGCGCTTGTGAGTTGCAGCAGCAGCCAGCTTGGCCATGCGCTTGTCCTCTTCGTTCCCTTTGTCATGCTGTATCCGCATCTTCATGATGGAGTAGGCATTTTTGTCGGGTTTGACCCGGAAGACACGAGCTGGGAGTCCAGCTGATTTTGCAGTCTCATTGTAGACTGCCACTATGGTGGTGGCGATCATATTGAATTCGACCCACGAGGGGAAGTGCTGCTGAAAAGCCTTTTCGTCCCACATCTTGTTAAAGCAGGCATGGATAAGGCCATGCACTTTTGTTGGTGCGTCCAGCTCACGGTAGGCGTCACCCGCGCCTGTGGCGATGGTGACCTTCCCATCGCTTGTGAGGACCCGCCTCACCGACATGGCGGTGTCCCATGTGAGGCCGGTTTGCGTCCTGACGGACTTGATGGCAGAGAACAGCGGCGGAACTTCTCGGAGTGCTTCCATCCTGGTAGACCAAAGGGTCTGTTGTTCCTGGTTGGTGAGGCCGCCAAGAATGACCGGAGCCACCAGGATGTTGATGGAAGCTAAGGCCCGAATCCAGTCCTGATGGGACTGGGAGCTCAGCAGCTGAGCCAGCTCCTGCCGCGTGTAACGTACTGTCAGCCGTGGAGCCGGCTGTGGGACATAGCCGACGAGTTCCGCATTGGATTCCGGAGGCTCATATGCTGACGGGGGGCGGGAAGAGGGAGGAGGGGGCGTGTGGGAGCGCGGAGCGGCCTGGGTGGCGGGGGTTGGAGGAGAGACGGACTTGGGAGGGTGCGGAAGGAACGGGGGGACCGGAATCGCAGGAGGGGGGGCGAAGAAGAAGAGGGCGGGGGGCATTGGGTGGCCACCATGGGCGGTGGGGCCTTAACCGGAAGCGCCGGGGCCGCCTTCGGTGTTTCTGCTTGGCCTGCTTTGAAGGCCGCCTTTTCAGCTGCTGAGGAAGTGAAAGGGCACGGGGGGGAGGGTGGCGGCTCAAAGCCGGCTGCTTTGTCTACACCTTTGGTCCTGGTACTGCTGGGGGGAAGAGGAATTTCCTGTGGGAGCTTGGGGGGAGGAGGAGGGGGGGGAGGGTGGGGGTCTGGCGTGGCACTGAGTGCTGGGTTGTGCTTCTGAGTGACAAAGTGGTTCTTAAGGCCGTGGCTAGTGCTGAATTGCACCTGCCTGTTGTGCTTGCGGCAGTGCAAGCAGCATAGCCACATGTCCCCCGAGACTTTCACTTGCCCTAATCCTCGAGGGATAAGCTCCAGCACATCCTGCTCTGTAAGGTCTTGATTGTAGTGGTGGGTTTCACGGACCGTAGCCATGATCTCTGCAAAGGAGTTGTACTGGATGCTGTCGGCCACATAGGCTTCAATATCCTCCTGAGTGGGAGGAGGGGGAGCCGATGAGGCGGTTGCCATGGTCTGTGACCTAGGTGGCTGTGGTGAGCTGTGCTCTTCAGGTCTGTCAGACTGGATTTCAAGGGAGATGTCAGGGAGTTGGCTCTGCAGCATGCGGTCTGTGCGTTCCTTGGTGGTTGGGTCTCCCTGAAATCCCTTCAGCCACTTCCAGCAACGGGTATATGCAACGGTCGTGTTGTTGGTAGTCACGAAGTAGTGGCCATCATTGTCGTACTTCTTGTTCTTCACTCGCTTGTCCCAGCGCTCCGAGAACAGGTAGATGGGGCCGAATTTGGTGGAAACATTCCATCCCGGCTGAGGGGAGTGACCAAGGTCGCGACCCAAGATCTGCCAAAGATATTTGCAGAAGGTCATGTATTCCAAGTTTGCCTTCGCTGTCATGACCTGACGGCTGAAGGCGTGCTGTATGGCTTCCCTCATCAAGGGGTGTCTGGGCTTGCCATAGATGATGCCTTGAAAAATATGATCTCCTTTGACTCCTATGGCCATGACCATGAACTCCTGTGGGAGTTGGCCAGGTGGGGAGGGTCTGTGACCCACTTCACCTGCCTTCTTTGAGTGAGCTGTGCTCCAATCTGCTGCGAGATACACGAGTACCTGTTCCCAAGGTACCACGAAGCCACATTTGATGTCGACGTAGAGGCCGCCGTGCTGGTAGTGGTAGACGTATCGGAATACGTCTGCTCGATGAGCAGGTTGGCTGAGGCGATCCAGCAGATTGGAGCCGTACTTTCCTGCGAGTTGCCGCAGGGTAGCCCGAAGAACATCATCATCACAGAATCTGCGGGTGAAGCCAGCAAACATTTTGGCCGCGACTTGGGCCGGTTCCGGCTTTTCGTCGTGAACGTAGGTCTGGAAGAGGAGGGCTGGGACAGGGGCGGCTTCCCATTCTGGGAGATGTGTGAAGCGCATTCCCCAGGGGCCATGTCCGTATTGCATGGCTACCTCTGAAAGATCACGGACCGTTCGGCATTGTGACAGAGCCTGGGCAGCTAGCATTTCGACATGCATGTCCTGCTCGCGAGCGTTCCAACCAGCGACCACGAGGACAGGCAGTCCTGGGGTGTTGCGCATTTCCTCGATGGCTCTGGTTACAAGCGCCGGGATGACAATGTCCGCGACGTCGGGGCGGAAGTGAAGGTTCTTGGAGTTGTAGAGCCATTCTACCCCTCCTACACCAGGCATCTGGGCCAGGTCCATGATTTCTTGGTTGTGCAGGTTCTTGTCCGCGAAACCATATTGGACCCTGCCATCGATCAGGTAGTCATAATTGATCTGCTTCTCCGGGCGCAGGCTTCGGGACAGCGGAATGAAGCGAACGTTGATTTGTCCGTCGAGGTGGTTCTCCAAGATGGAGGCCACCGGCGGGCTCTGCACTGCCGCTGTGAATTTGTGCGGCCCAAAGAGCCCAAATTGCCAGTGGAGGAGCTCCAAGATGGAGGGGACGCTGCCGGCAGAAATGTTGAGGGCGGCGCCTGGGCAGCTTAAGACCTGTCCCGTCAGCAGCGGGAACACTCCGTAAGTGTGTCCCCGCAGCATGTGCTGCAAGGTGCTATCGCTGAGCACCAGAAAAGGGCCCAGACTGGGAGGTTTGTCCATGGTCTCAGCTGTAGCTGATGGGCCAGAGTCTGTGACACGCGGCCAAGTGGTGAGCTGTGCTCTTCGTAAAGACGCAGTTTGTTAAAAGAAGTAGCTTCTGCTAGGCGTGTCTGTAATGCATGTTGCGATACTCCTGCCGCTCCGTCCGGCACAACAGTTCGAACTGACAGCTGCGGTATACATGTAATGCTTAGCAGAGGCTCAAGACCAAGCACGAAGCTCAAGCAACGCTGGACGACTCTAGGCAAAGAACACCAGCAGAGGGCACTCGGGCTGAGAGTTGGTGCCGTGTGGTAGCTGAGACCTCAGATCTCAGATCACAGGTGAGAGCAAACAATGATGCAAGTAGCTGAGTGTTAGCATGCTGCAAGTCGATTTCTCTGGGCAGGGGAGCCACTCGTTGCTGACTGTGACAAGTTGGGTGGCTGTGCCACACCTGATCGGAGGCTGTGCCACTTTCCTAGCGTGAGTCAGTGAACTGCCTATGGCCCGAAGTGCTCAGAAAAGTCGGTAGTAGTGGTCGTAGAGAGCACTGGGTTCCTCTGCTTCTCGGCTGATGGTTGCCGTTGGTCCGTCCGGGTTACGGGGGTTCCGGAACTTCTGCACCGCGACCTGTTGGCTGTGCTGAATGTGGATACTGAGCTCCTCGGACGCGAGATGCCACTGGGGCGTGTCAAAGGACTGGACCATGACACGTAGGCCGAGAGACATAGCTGCCCTGGCAGTGCGGTGTGGACTTACAAAGAGCTTATGCTCTACCTGGGAGAGCACTGCTGCGCACCAGGATTTGCTGACCGACGCCAGTGAGAGGGCTGTCAGCAAGTCTGGCTGCGGTATCGCTAGTCTGACATGGACGCCCTGTTGGTCATAGTCAGTGTCTTCGTACCGTTGCGCAAAGACAGCTAGGCCTTTATGTAAACGGCGAAAGGCCCAGAGGCGTGCTTGGTCCTCGATCTCGTTCCGGAGCAGCAGTATGGGAACTA